CTGATTACTCGGGGGTTTTCAGGGTCGCTGATGACGAATTCGATGTCAGTTTTTCAAAATTCAAAACGGCGGATCCAATATGGCGGACAAAATTTTTAAAATCGCTTAAATTCGCTTGAATCTGGTTTCTCGGAGGTTTTTGGGGTCGCTGATCACGAAATCAATGTCAGTTTTTCAAAATTCAAAATGGCGGATCCAATATCACAAACGAATTTTTAAACATTCATTGGATTCGCTTAAAAAAGTTTTCTTAGAAGACATTTAAAATTTTTAAAAAGACTGACGTATAATTTATATACAGTAACAAAAAGACCTAAATAACAGTTTTCAATCGAATTTAATTTTTACAAAATTGTCTACCTTATTGGATATGCTATTCGATTTTGATTTTTTGAAAAACAAACATCGAATAAGTGATCAGCGATGCCAAAAACCCCTGGGTCACTATTTTTATTAAAATCGATCAAAGTAATTATCTAATTATCTAATCTAATTTTTTTATAACAATTTATAATTTTTTCCTAACATTGGTTTTTTTTATATCTTTAATAACCAGATTCAAGCGAATTTAAGCGATTTTTAAAATCTTGTCCGCCATATTGGATCCGCCGTTTTGAATTTTGAAAAACTGACATCGAATTCGTGATCAGCGACCCCGAAAACCCGCGAGTAATCAGTTTCATTTAAGTTAATTGAAATCATTGCCCAAATTAACAATTTGTTTATATAATTTGTTTATAACAATTTACTAATGGGTCTATATCATCATTCTACAATTCAGAGATCCAGAGGAGTAAATTTAAATACCTAACAATAAAAACTTTACATATTTTTTTGAAAATAAGAGTAATATGTAAGAAAGTACTATTTTTTTATTTGTTTATATTAATATAATTATTTATGCAAATTTATGCAAATTTATGCAAATTTATGCAAATCTCTTACAATTTTATTAAAGATTATTTTAAAAAAAAAATCCAAAATCCAGTGCGATTTGTAGGCTCTGGATTGCTTTAAAACCTACTTTTTGATTTCAAACAACTGTAATGTCACGCATATGTGATAAATGAAATTAAAGTTTGTCATTTAAAAAAACTTAGTGCCTGATTTTTTGTTCATTTTTTACGCATTTGAATGGTACCATATTTGCTTTATATAATTGAAAAAAAATTTTATTAACAGATTTCGAAGAACCTAATTCAATGGATAATTCTTTTGAAAGGGGATCAACAACAATAAGTAGCAATCAATAAATGGATACAACCAGTGGGCAGGGAGTCAATTCAACCTTTTTCAATCCTACAATTACCCGATTCTACACAACCAACTGTTCAAAAAAAACCGTTCATAACGTTCTACCCTTCAATGACTGACCCTACAAAAACGGATTGTTAAATTAATAAAGATACCAAACCGTAACACGAAATACCGATTCTTCAATGACAGATTCTACACATTATGTTAATGAGTAAATATAAAAATTTTAAATACCGATTCTTCAATGACCGATTCTACAATTTTTATCAATGTAGAAGAATAAACAATTTTAAATACCGATTCTTCAATGACCGACTCTACAAATTTTGTTAATCTTTAAAAGGAACAATTAAAATCCTAATTCTTCAATGACCGATTCTACAAATTCACTTTAAAAATAAAAATAAAAGTCCCAATTCTTCAATGACCGATTCTACAACTTTTATCAATGTAGAAGAATAAACAATTTTAAATACCGATTCTTCAATGACCGAGTCTACAAATTTTGTTAATCTTTAAAAGAAATAATTAAAATCCCAATTCTTCAATGACCGACTCTACAAATTTTGTTAGTCTTTAAAAGGAACAATTAAAATCACAATTCTACAATGAACGATTCTACAAATTCACTTTAAAAATAAAAATAAAAGTCCCAATTCTTCAATGACCGATTCTACAACTTTTATCAATGTAGAAGAATAAACAATTTTAAATACCGATTCTTCAATGACCGAGTCTACAAATTTTGTTAATCTTTAAAAGAAATAATTAAAATCCCAATTCTTCAATGACCGACTCTACAAATTTTGTTAATCTTTAAAAGGAACAATTAAAATTCCAATTCTTCAATGACCGATTCTACAAATTCACTTTAAAAATAAAAATAAAAGTTTCAATTCTTCAATGACCGATTCTACAAATTCACTTTAAAAATAAAAATAAAAGTCCCAATTCTTCAATGACCGATTCTACAACTTTTATCAATGTAGAAGAATAAACAATTTTAAATACAGATTCTTCAATGACCGACTCTACAAGTTTTGTTAATCTGTAAAAGAAATAATTAAAATCCAAATTCTTCAATGACCGATTCTACAATTTTTATCAATGTAGAAGAATAAACAATTTTAAATACCGATTATTCAATGACCGACTCTACAAGTTTTGAAAATCTTTAAAAGGAATAATTAAAATCCCAATTCTTCAATGACCGACTCTACAAATTTTGTTAATCTATAAAAAGAAAAATTTAAATCCCAATTCTTCAATGACCGATTCTACAAATTTTGTTAATCTTTAAAAGGAACATTTAAAATCCCAATTCTTCAATGACCGATTCTACAAATTCACTTTAAAAATAAAAATAAAAGTCCCAATTCTTCAATGACCGATTCTACAACTTTTATCAATGTAGAAGAATAAACAATTTTAAATACAGATTCTTCAATGACCGACTCTACAAGTTTTGTTAATCTGTAAAAGGAATAATTAAAATCCAAATTCTTCAATGACCGATTCTACAATTTTTATCAATGTAGAAGAATAAACAATTTTAAATACCGATTATTCAATGACCGACTCTACAAGTTTTGAAAATCTTTAAAAGGAATAATTAAAATCCCAATTCTTCAATGACCGACTCTACAAATTTTGTTAATCTATAAAAAGAAAAATTTAAATCCCAATTCTTCAATGACCGATTCTACAAATTTTGTTAATCTTTAAAAGGAACATTTAAAATCCCAATTCTTCAATGACCGATTCTACAAATTCACTTTAAAAATAAAAATAAAAGTCCCAATTCTTCAATGACCGATTCTACAACTTTTATCAATGTAGAAGAATAAACAATTTTAAATACCGATTCTTCAATGACCGAGTCTACAAATTTTGTTAATCTTTAAAAGAAATAATTAAAATCCCAATTCTTCAATGACCGACTCTACAAATTTTGTTAATCTTTAAAAGGAACAATTAAAATCACAATTCTACAATGAACGATTCTACAAATTCACTTTAAAAATAAAAATAAAAGTCCCAATTCTTCAATGACCGATTCTACAACTTTTATCAATGTAGAAGAATAAACAATTTTAAATACCGATTCTTCAATGACCGAGTCTACAAATTTTGTTAATCTTTAAAAGGAATAATTAAAATCCCAATTCTTCAATGACCGATTCTATAATTTTTATCAATGTAGAAGAATAAACAATTTTAAATACCGATTCTTCAATGACCGACTCTACAAGTTTTGTTAATTTGTAAAAGGAATAATTAAAATCCCAATTCTTCAATGACCGACTCTACAAATTTTGTTAATCTATAAAAAGAAAAATTTAAATCCTAATTCTTCAATGACCGATTCTACAAATTTTCTTTAACAAGAAAAATATAAAGCCCAATTGTTCAATTACCGACTCTACAAATTTTGTTAATCTATAAAAAGAAAAATTTAAATCCCAATTTATTTTATTTTTCTTGTTAAAGAAAATTTGTAGAATCGGTCATTGAAGAATTGGGATTTTAATTATTCCTTTTAAAGATTAACAAAACTTGTAGAGTCGGTCATTAAAGAATTGGAATTTTAATTATTCCTTTTAAAGATTTTCAAAACTTGTAGAGTCGGTCATTGAATAATCGGTATTTAAAATTGTTTATTCTTCTACATTGATAAAAATTGTAGAATCGGTCATTGAAGAATTTGGATTTTAATTATTCCTTTTACAGATTAACAAAACTTGTAGAGACGGTCATTGAATAATCGGTATTTAAAATTTTTTATTCCTCTACATTGATAAAAGTTGTAGAATCGGTCATTGAAGAATTGGGACTTTTATTTTTATTCTTAAAGTGAATTTGTAGAATCGGTCATTGAAGAATTGGGATTTTAATTGTTCCTTTTAAAGATTAACAAAATTTGTAGAGTTGGTCATTGAAGAATCGGTATTTAAAATTGTTTATTCTTCTACATTGATAAAAATTGTAGAATCGGTCATTGAAGAATTGGGATTTTAATTATTCCTTTTAAAGATTAACAAAATTTTTAGAGTCGGTCATTGAAGAATCGGTATTTAAAATTGTTTATTCTTCTACATTGATAAAAATTGTAGAATCGGTCATTGAAGAATTGGGATTTTTTTTTCTTGTTAAAGAAAATTTGTATAATCGGTCATTGAAGAATTGGGATTTAAATTTTTCTTTTTATTGATTAACAAAATTTGTAGAGTCGGTCATTGAAGAATCGGTATTTAAAATTGTTTATTCTTCTACATTGATAAAAATTGTAGAATCGGTCATTGAAGAATCGGTATTTAAAATTTTTATATTTACTCATTAACATAATGTGTAGAATCGGTCATTGAAGAATCGGTATTTCGTGTTACGGTTTGGTATCTTTATTAATTTAACAATCCGTTTTTGTAGGGTCAGTCATTGAAGGGTAGAACGTTATGAACGGTTTTTTTTGTACAGTTGGTTGTGTAGAATCGGGTAATTGTAGGATTGAAAAAGGTTGAGTTGACTCCCTGCCCAACCAGTGATTCTAGTTCTGAGGCTGACGATTCATCGAAGTCATCTTAGGAGATATCCGATTTTGAGTCAATCGAAGATGAAGATGTAGCTGTTTATTTTAATCAGGACGAACACCCCGAAATTCAAGAACTTCGAAAGTGGGCTATGAAAAATAAGATTTATTTGATACACGTGGACCAACAAATAGAGCTGAATACAACATAATATCAATGAAGGATAAGACTGGATCGATGGGTGAATTTGTCTATTTGTGCTTGAAAAAAGGATTGGTTAATTGTGTTACCAAAATAATCAAATTGAGCTGCAATTTAATTGTGATGGCGTACCTTTGGTGGAATCAGGAAACCATACGTTCTGGACAATACTTTGTAAAGTCCATTCTAATCCAAATGTGTATGAACCATTTGCAGTTGCCATTTATTTTGGAGAGTCTAAGCCAGAAGATGAAGATCTATACATGGAAAGATTAATCGAAGAATTGAATGAAGTGATTGAAACTGGGATCGACACTGATGGAGAGCATTTTGTAGTTTCTCTAAAGTGTTTTATATGTGATACTCCAGCTCTATCATTTTTAAAATGTACGGTTGGACACAAAGCAAAATTTGCGTGCGAAAGATGCAAAGTCGAAGGCGAAATTTTAGAAAGAAGAACCGTGTATCCGTCAGTTGATGCTGCTGAGAGAACTGACGCTTCTTTTAGAAACCAAACACAGCTGAGACATCATAATGGCATTTCCCCATTGTTACGAATATTACCGTTAATAAACATAATTTCCATTTTCGTACTCGATAGCATGCATTTACTTTATCAGGGAATAATGAAGAAGCTTCTAGATTACTGGTTTGAACAAGGAGCAAATAGATTAATTGCTTGTTGGTGATCGAAGTGAAGCATCAAGGCGAATGGCGTTACTGAAAAACCAATTTCCCTGTGAGTTTTAACGTCAACCAAGGTCAATGAAATATGTTGCCAAATGGAAAGCCACCGAATACCGTCTGTTTCTATTGCATGCTGGTCCTCTTGTAATGAAAGAACTTTTATCCACGAAATGCTATAAGCATTTTTTGCTTTTACACGTCGCTTCAAGAATACTGTGTTCGGGCAAATTATGCACAAAACTAAGAATAAAAGCAAAACAGTATTTAAAATTATTTTTCGAATTTCTCAAATTTTATGGAGAAACCGCAAAAGTCCTCAATCCACATCATTTAATCCATGTCGACGATGATGTTTTACACATGAACTGCAGCATAAGCAGAATAACTGCCTTTCCTTTCGAAAGTTTACTGGGAAAAATGAAGAAGTGTTTGCGGACTGCTAATAAACCTCTAGCTCAACTGTGTCGCCATCTACATGAGCATTCTTTTGTAAAAAATTCGAAACCTGCTGTACCAGAAATTATGGAAATTTTAAATGAAACCGAGAATAGTATCTTAAAATTAAGATATAAACAATTTGTAATTACGAATTCTTCACCCAACAATGTCATTCTTCTTAAAGACAAAACTGTAGTAAAAGTGAGTGAAATCATTTTAACAGATGATAATGTGATGATAATAGGCAATGTGTGGGAGAAAAAAATAGTATTTTCACTTTTCTATTAGATTTGAGTTTTTTGAACATGTGGGAGTTGCAAAACGAACCTTTGAAAGAGAGAAGAACATTTAAATTGAGTTCTGTCAGCTGTAAATTAGAATGTTTGCGCTTAAATTGAGAAAAAAACTGCCATCAAGAACTTATGTTATTCCGTTATTACATGATTGATAATTTAATTCTTTAAAATTATATACTATTGGTATATTTATATGATTGACAATAAATTGATTTTGCAAAATGCTTGAATCAAACAAATATATTGTTTGATAATATACCTATATTATATTAAAAAAATTAAAAATTGTTATTGTTCCACGATTGAAAATAAATTGATTTTGCATTATTATATTCCTATTTTATTGAATTTAAATATAATAACAATTTATTTAAAATAAAATTATATTTTATTTATTTAAATTTAATTAAATTATCGAATTAAAATTTAAGTGTGAAAAAACAAAAAAATATTAGGAATATTACTTTATAATGATACATAATTTTGACAAAATAATTATTAAAGAAATACTTTCAATTTAAAAAGATAATGTTATCGTTATGAAATTTATTATTTCAAATTTTTTATTATGTGAATAAAAATTATATACTAAGTCAGAAATTCAGTTATTTGTGTTTGGATGTAAAAAGTATTTATATTTGGTTTTATATTTCGAATTGAAATAAAACTAAAATAAAATAGATTTACTAAATTTTAAAAAAGCGCGCCTTTAGTAATCATGATCATGTGACCATTTCTGATTGGTCAACGAAGACTGCGTCCGTGACCTTTAGCCACGTTCTACCTTCCGTTTCCGCCTGAATTTTGTCTGCTCCCATGTGACTGCATGTGCTAAAGATTTTACGACTCACCGACTAAATTTTATTTTTGATACTTTTGGTGAGAAATGTCTTTGGTTTTCATACAAAGGTAGGGACAACAGAAAAAATCACATTTGAATCTTTAAAATATTAACTTTCGAACCCAGGTTTCATTCAGTTTTATCTTGTAATTGCCTTAGAAGTATCTGCGTTTTCATGCGCGTATCTACTCAAGCCCTGGCGGATTGGGTAAACCGAGATGTAACCGTATTGGGTTACGATTCGGTTACGTTTCGGTTACTTGTGAAAAATTGTCGTTAATCGACGAAATATGTTGTAAATAACTATTAAGAATGGTTAATAGACATTTACAGGTCTTATTTATACAATAATAACAATAAATTAAGATATACTTACTCAATAATAAGTGTTTTAAGTGTACAATGCATACAGTTGTTAAGTTACCATATATGTATATTACCATCAGCGGCAGCTGTGATACGCGCATTAAACACTAGATGGCGTTGATGATTACTTTGTGAATGAATTTCTAAAATCAAACACTTGAGTGTCAAATGTGTAAGTGAATATAAGTTTTAAAAAAATAGATCGATTTATTAAAACAACTTTTTTCATTTCTACAAATATAAAAAAAATTTTTCTCAATAAAAATTTTTTTTTCTCAATGACATAAGAAAAATTAATTGTGACACAAAAAAATCTATTTTTCCCTAAAAAAATTTTTTTCTTAATAATAATTTTTTTCCCCAATAAAATGAAAAGATTAATTTTTACACAAACAAATTTTTTTCTTAATAACAAATTTTATTTTTTCAATGAAATGAGAAAAAGTAATTGTGACACAAAAGAAACTCTTTTCCTCAATAAAATAAGAAATATTAATTTTTAAAAAGAAATTTTTTCTGAATAAAAAAATTTCTTTTCTCAATGAAAGGAGAAAGATTAATTTTGACAGAAAAAAAAATTTTTGTTTCTAATAAAATTTTTTTTTATATTTGTAGAAATGAAAAAAGTTGTTTTAATAAATCGATCTATTTTTTTAAAACTTATATTCACTTACACATTTTCTTTCTTTCTTTTGGTTAAATGGCCTCTTGTCCAAGTCGGACAAATAGCCAATACATTTCACGTAAGGTTGATACATCAGTGTAATTCTGTGTGTTATTTCATGTATATATGTAATGTAGTGATCCAGATAAATATTCCAGTAGATCTAAATAAGACCAATCATGTAGTAGCATGGTCCAGCCTTGACACATTAAAGTCAAATGCACATAACTGTCGTGACAGACGATGGAACGAGATTGCGCGGGAAATTTAAATAGAAATGAGGGGCTGATAGTAAAAATGGTTTAAAATAACATTGGGAGCAAAAGTGGGAAAAGTGACTTGGGAGCAAAAACGGGTTAAAATGATTCGTTTAATTTATTGATAAATTCATTATATTATCGATTAAAAAATATTAACAATAGGAAAAAATGCATATTTTATTATAATTAATATTTTTTAATCGATAATATAATGAATTTATCAATAAATTACACGAATCATTTTAACCCGTTTTTGCTCCCAAGTCACTTATCCCACTTTTGCTCCCAATGTTATTTTAAACCATTTTTACTATCAGCCCCTCAAATATTCATATATGCAGAACACGGTTCTCATACATTGAGAGCCGGAGTAAGCGCAAATATGATTTATAATTGTTATTCAAAGTTAACTAAAATCCAACAAAATCCATATAATTATAAGGTTTTTCTTTCTTTCTTTGTTTATATGTACAAAATAAATATAAATGTGTAAATGATACATTTAAATTAGTTATTAATCATATCTTCACTCAATTGGCATGCAAATAAATAATTCCATTGAAAAGGATGCGCATTCTCATTCAGCATAAAGCTGTTTGAACCGAAATCCCTTTTCATTATAAGTTAACTGTATAAATAACACTTAAAGACTGTAGTAGAATTTCCATACAGTCGCTCATAAAAAGAAGAGGAGAAAAGAGAAAAAAAAATAAACAAATAAAAGTTCAAATAAAAATAGAAAAAAAAATAAAAAAACAGAATTCATTACTCCATCACTCTCCTACCCATTTTACCCGAAGTTCAACAATCCCCCAATCAACCCCCAATCATCCTCTTCCCTTCTTTTTCCTTTTAATGTTATTTGTTCATGTCGACCATTACTGAAATTATTACAGGACGATGCCACCACCGTCAAAGAATTTCCCGACACAACGAACCGATCCAGGATCCGGATCAAAAATTAATGGCGTGAGATCTGGCATGTCAGGATCAAAATTTATCATTTTATCGGTTAGATACGAATAAAGAGATGGTCTGAAAGCAGAGAGGACAGGACAGTCTCTAAGATAATGTAGGATACTCTTTTGTCCAGTTCCACATACACATGTAGCATCAATTTGCCAGCCCAATTTCGCAAAGTGTTCACTTGTACATACGTGTCCACATCTAAGTCTTGTAAAAAGGTTCAAGTGCCTACGGATTGCGTGGTAGTCTTTGAACCATGGCACAGTGGCCGATTTCTCGAAAAACCTGGCCAAAAATCGAAAAATGATATGATTTCAACCAAAATTGGTATACCCATGTTTTTTGGGCTTCTGAATTCAAATTTTACATTGGTTGTGTCAAATTCAAAATGGCGGATCCAAAATGGCCGTTTAGATTTTAAAAAACTTTGCTGAAAATCGAAAAATGATACGATTTCAACCAAAATTGGTATACCCATGTTTTTTGGGCTTCTGAATTCAAATTTTACATTAGTTGTGTCAAATTCAAAATGGCGGATCCAAAATGGCTGTTTAGATTTTAAAAAACTTTGCTGAAAATCGAAAAAAGATACGATTTCAATCAAAATTGGTATATCCATGTTTTTTGGGCTTCTGAATTCAAATTTTACATTGGTTGTGTCAAATTCAAAATGGCGGATCCAAAATGGCCGTTTAGATTTTAAAAAACTTTGCTGAAAATCGAAAAATGATACGATTTCAACCAAAATTGGTATACCCATGTTTTTTGGGCTTCTGAATTCAAATTTTACATTGGTTGTGTCAAATTCAAAATGGCGGATCCAAAATGGCCGTTTAGATTTTTAAAAACTTTCCTAAAAATTAAAAAATGGTACGATTTTAACCAAACTTAGTATACTTACGTTTACTGGGTTTCTGAAATCCAAAATATTTGCTGGTATTTTAAAATTGCGTAAATGTGTTAGAGCTTATTTTTTTTAAATTACAGACAGTGCTTAAATTTTAGTTTAAAGCGAATGCGAATGAAGAAAAAGTCAGTCTTTCACGTTCAGTTGCACCGCCGGCCGGTGCAACGCGCTGTTGGTAAACCGCGCTTAGTGAAATAAAAAGTGATACCAAAACTGCAGGGGCAGCTTGGGGCAACTGATTTCAATTAAAATGAATTAAAAATA